ACAGCAAGCAAGAAGTGGGTGGGGATTGAATGCAAGCGCTACCTTTCTGGTGATTTGCCTCTCACGCCAGGCCACCCATGTTTCTCCCTCATTGCCTTTAGTGGTCTCCACTCACAGATCTCTTTGATCTTCACCAGAAGGTCCTAACAGTCAGCCTGCAGGGGTCTGTAATAAACTCAGCAACCCGAGATTAGGGACTCATGGTTTTAGTGGTTGCACATTCCAGCACTGTTTGTAACTAGGGAGCCTGGATACTCTGGCAATGACTCCCGTTCTTAGTGGTTTGCTGTTGCATGTTCTGATTGGTTCCAGTAAGTTACACTCAGAAACCATTATTACATCACTGGTTACATAAGTTGTTTCAGTTTGATAGCCAAATTGCCTATTACAGAGAAGTTTTCAAACCAGGCAGCACTTAATGAAATAGAAGGGAGCTTACATATTTCGTGGAAAAATTTCATTAACTTTCCATTCTGATTTTCCCAGAGTTTTTAAACCCCACTGTTTAATCTCTCTGTGCTTATTACCACATCATCTTTTTGCAAATCCTGTCAACTTTATAATTCCCATCTCTTATTTATGCTTTGCTCCCCTCGTCCAAACCAGTATCTTCTTTGATTCAGTGTATAGATTAGGCTGTGTTCATAGTAATAAATAATCTCCAACTCAGTGGGTCAGCACCGCAAAGCTTTACTGTGGTTCATATACATTACTATGTGTTTTGGGCTCTGCTCTGTCTGGTAGCAGTATACAATCTGGAGTAATGGCTTTGATGGTTATCCTGTCTACTAGAAACAACATTGACACTTGTATTGACAGCTCATTGGCCAAAAATAGCCACACACTCCAACCTACATATAAGGAAGGCTAGGAAATGTATTGCAACATATGAAATACTTAAGATATTACCATTAGCAGATTAAGGATCCCTAGTGGCCTCTGTCTGCTCCCATAAAGATTTACAGTCTCTGAGACCCTATATGGGTTGCAGTGAGTTGGAATTAGATAATAGAGTTTGGTTTGATATTTTGGCATCAGATTATTATAGTTGCATCTTAATTGCTTTTTAAAAAAATATTTCCTTGTGTGCCCCACTACAATGTTTTATCACATAGCCAGAGTGATTGGAAAATCATTTTTGTTATTACTTTGGAAATAGATTCCACTTATAATAAAACCTTTTACCCTCACTGCACAAACACATTGCATGATATGACCCTTACTGTGCTCTCTAATAGCTTGATTGGCATTTTAAATTACCAAATATTGCAACAGTGTGTTTTGATTTGGCATTTTCTTTTCAGTTAGGAAAATGTGATTTAAAAGTGTGAAATTCACAAACTAATAATAATGAATGCGTAATAAGAGAAAGTCTAATTTCTGTGATGGTATCCTTAATCATTTTTACACCATTATAATATTTTAGCAAGATAGCTTTTGGGAGTACTGATAGGATATAAAAATCTTATAGTAAATTATGCAGCAAAGTTCTAAATATTGTGTGCAGCTTCCCTGACAACAAATATTATAAAGTTTTCTCTACTTTATTTTTTAAAAATCATTTTATTAGGGGTTCATACAACCCTTACATACATCAACTGTGTAAAGCACATCCGTACATTCATTGCCCTCATCATTCTCAAATCATTTGCTCTCCACTTAACTCCCCCCCATCAGCTCCTCATTTTCTCCCCTCCCTCTCCACTACCCCCTCCCTCATGAGCCCTTGATAATTTATAAATTATTATTTTGTCATATTTTGCACTGTCCGACGTCTCCCTTCACCCGCTTTTCTGTTGTCCGTCCCCCACGGAGGAGGTTATATGGAGATCCTTCTAATTGGTTCCCCCTTTCGACCCCACCCTCCCTCTACACTCCCGGTATCACCACTCTCACCAATGGTCCTGAAGGGATCATCCGTCCTGGATTTCTTGTGTTTCCAGTTCCTATCTGTACCAGTGTACATCCT